CCCTAGGCTGGGGCAGGGAATTGGGGTGCAGGCTCTGGGAGGGAGTTTGGGGATGGGAGGGGTGCAGGGGTGAGGGCTGTGGGTTGTGGCTGCAGATGAGGGGTTTGGAGTGTGGGGGGGCTGGTGAGAGTTGGGGTGAGGGCTCTGTCTGGGACTGGGGATGAGGTGTTTGGGGTGCTAGAGGGGCTCAGGGCTCTGGCAGAGTGTTGAGGGTGCGGTGGGGGGGCAGAGAGAAAGCTCTGACTGGGGGTGTGGGCTCTGGGGTGGGACAGGACTGGGGATGAGTTTGGGGTACAGCCAGGCTGCTCCAGGACAGGGGCTAGAGAGGAGGACTCCCCCCCCCAGCCTTTTCCCTGCTGGCAGCAGCAAGCTCTGGGGGAGGAGCTCCCCTTTCCTGCCCGCCCCCCAGCTGCACACTGTCACTGCATGTGCTCCTAGGGCCCCTCTCAGATCCAGGAATCTCCCTCGCCTCCCGCGTGGTGGTGCTGGGGGGCACTGTGTGCGTCTCCTCCCCTGCTGTTGCCCCTGATGTAGCCTCACTGGGGGTGAGGGATGAGGCTATCTCCTTGCCCAGCATGGGGCAGGAGTGGTGACTGTGGGCGAGGGGGCTGTGCTGCTGGAGGGTCCCATTGAAAAATGAAAGGGTCTGAGGGGGAAGGGCAGGCTCAGAGTAAGTCTGAACTCTCAGAGAGAGATGGGGGGGCACTAGGACCCTGCGGCAGCAGTTGCTGCAGGGAGGCAGCATGGAGCTGCTCTGCTCTGGTCCGGGAAGGGGGGGAAGCAAGTTAGGGCTGGGGGGACACTCGGGGGAGGCGCGGGGGGAAGGGGGCGGCAGGTGGGGCCGGGGGGAGATCACGCGGTTATAAATATCTCTATGCCAGCGGCTTTGTTTTTTCTCCACCACTTTTTGCGCCCCTCGGGCTTTGTGCGCCCAAGGCAAGTGCCTCACTCGCCTTGCCCTTGTTAGGGCGCTGCTTCCCAGTGCCCCAACCCAGCTGTGCATGGGCTGAGGGTCTCAGTTAAGAGTGGGAAAGGAGGTTTTGTAGGTGGCTGGTTAGCAGAGTTCCTGTTAAAATGGTCATTTTCATTATTTTATTAGAATACTAATGATATATTAGGTCATCTAGAGCCTTGTATAGGTGTCTTAATTATTTAAATATAAATAAAATACATTGCAGTGTGGTAATATTGTTGTGACGGGTTGAATCACAAAAACCCCCTTGGGGCTGCCAACTGATGTGCCAAGACTACTGCCCCTGCTTTCCCTCCCAGCTCCCGGGAGCCAGACACGCCTGTCTCCTCCAACACAGACCCAGGGTCTGAATTACTTTCCCCAAAGCTGCAGACTTAACTGAAAGCAGCTTACAGAAGTGTTCTTGTCTTTAACTCTCAGATGCCCAACTCCCAATGGGGTCTAAACCCAAATAAATCCGTTTTACCCTGTATAAAGCTTATACAGGGTAAACTCATACATTGTTTGCCCTCTATAACACTGATAGAGAGATACTACCCCCCAGGGTATTAACATATACTCTGAGTTAATAAGTAAAAAGTGACTTTATTAAATACTGAAAGTAGGATTTAAGTGGTTTCAAGTAGTAACAGACAGAACAGAGCGAATTAACCAGTAAAATAAAATAAAACACACAAGTCTATGTCTAAGAAAACTGAATACAAATAACACCACACCAGTTCCAGTAAGCTTCCTTTTACATACTAGTCTCCTGCTAGTCTGGGTCCAGCAATCACTCACACTCCTTTGTTCCAGTTTCTTTCAGGTATCCTTGGGGGTGGGGAGGCTTTCTCTTTAGCCAACTGAGGACCAAAATGGAGGGGTCTCCCACGGGCTTAAGTAGACTTTCTCTTGTGGGTAGAGACCCCCCTCCTCTCTCCTATGCAAAATCCTGCTCTAAGATGGAGTTCTGGAGTCACCTGGGCAAGTCACATGTCCATGCATGAGTCACAGTTTTTACAGGCAGAAGCCATTGCCCACATGGTATCTTGAATGTCTCCAAGAAGACTTCTTATGTGGATTGGAGCATTCCAAAATGCATTGTTCCTTAAAAAGAACAGGAGTACTTGTGGCACCTTAGAGACTAAAAAAAGTATTAGAGCATAAGCTTTCGTGGACTACAGCCCACTTCTTCGGATGCATAGTGGGCTGTAGTCCACGAAAGCTTATGCTCTAATACATTTGTTAGTCTCTAAGGTGCCACAAGTAGTCCTGTTCTTTTTGCGGATACAGACTAACACGGCTGCTACTCTGAAACCTGTCATTGTTCCTTAAGTGCTTCTTGATTGGGCACTTAACTTTGCGAATTCCTTTCTCCAGGAACTGACCAAATGCTCTACTAAGGTTATTTAGAAATCAAGCCAGTACACGGCCAATATTCATAACTTTGAATACAAAAATGATACATGTATACAAATAGGATTAATAGATTAAGTAGATCATAACCTTTACATAGATATGTTACATGCATATGTAGCACAGAACATATTCCTGTTATGTCATATATATTCATAAGCATATTTCCATAAAGCCTTATGTGGGGCGCCATCACAATTGTAAAATAAGGTCGTGCTGCAGTGTGATGTTTAAATCACAACAATGTAATGATGTTTTGACAATAGATTTTTCCAGGAAGCATTGCTTGAAGGATGTGAAATTGCCTCAGGAAACTGGGGATGGCTCAGACAAAATTCTGGATACTCTATAGTAATCCTAAGCCTTATTGACAGAGCCAGACAAGTACCCAGAAGTCACCTCCTACAAGACAGGCCCAACAAAGAAAATAACAGAACACCACTAGGTGTCACCTTCAGCCCCCAACTAAAACCTCTCCAGTGCATCATCAAGAGATCTACAACCTATCCTGAAAGATGATCCTTTACTCTCACAGATCTTGGGAGACAGACCTGTCCTCGCTTACAGACAACCCCCCAACCTAAAGCAATACTCATCAGCAACCACACATC